TTTTTTTATTCTGAAAATATTTTATATATTTATTATTTTACTCTATCAATTCGAGTGCAGTTTTAATTATGAATATTTAATGTAAACATAGCAAATAGTTCAATATTAACATCGAAATATTTCTCCTTTTAAAATTCAAGCCATACTTTTTGATCCTTCACTACAAAGTTGGAAAAAAACCCTTAACGTGGGGTCTATTTTATCCCAAATTTTGATTGCTATATCTCAGAACATATTAAAATTTGAGATCTACAATTTTGAATATATATTCAAATATTATTGGAAATAATAAATACAAAATCTTAGATTAATAGTTACTTCTAAAAACAGTTATGCAAATTTTACTAAAGTTCCTAAAATAAATTTTTTTTTTCTGAGACCTTCCTTTATATATAGTTTTACCACAAAAAAAAATTTAAAAAATGCAAATTTTATTATATATTTTATTAAATGAATGTCGAAAATAGATAATTATATAAATTTTATAAAAGATATCAAATATTAAAAATAATATTAATCATCAAATATCATGTAAATTTTTGTACTAACATTCACGACAAAATGTATGCATATGATCTTTACAAATGAATTTAGAACAAACAAATAAATGTTGTTTTCACCTCCTTCACTCTTGGACAATCATAACATCTTCTCTTTTTATTTGATGGAATATGTTTCTCATCAGTTATATTGAGAACATCCCCAATGTTGTTACGTAATAATCTACATATACTAAGGTTCTCAGAACTGCTGATCATATATGGAGTTATCAGTTCCATTGCTAATAATTTTATAAATTTTTATATTCGACAAATTATTAGCTTTATAACTATCAGTACATTTATTATTGACATATTTACTATAGTATAAAAAAAGGCCAATGGCCATCTATTCGATTTTCTGGATATATAATATATGGAGGATAGTTGATCTACTGTATCAACTCCAGTTTTTGTTAAATTATAAAAAGTTATAATTCTGGTTTTTAAACTCACCAGTTGATGCATCAATTTTGTTATCATAATGTAGTGTGTAGAAAGCAACACTATATTCTTATACATTTTTGGTATGTATGAAACTAACAGTTCTATTTTCTCTAAATGCAAATAAACTAAATTTATATCTCTAATAATCACCTGACTCACAATCTACATAAAATGTTATAAATATTAAATAGACAATTCTTCCAGAACTTCATGATATTAAATTTTCCATGTGCATCATTTATAGTATTTAGTAAGAAAAAAAATTAGTATTAAATTTTAAAATTTTGGCTTACAACACAACATTGAAAAATTTAAAAATAAATTTTAATTTAAGAACCCTTCTATAAATTTAGGTAGCTGACATATAAATGCAATATATAAAAAATTTAAAAATGGTTGGTTCAGTTTAGATTATCTTTAATAACGGTTAATATATATTTAACAAATCGTTTCAGGTTTGGTTTAGCTGAGTTAATAATCAAGCTAAACCTTGATATGAACTAAAAAGATTTTACAAAAAAACCATTGTTGAAATAAATAAAGTCATCGAAAAAGCATAAAAAATAAACTGGATTGTATTGTTAAAATGTTAATTTTGATATATTTTTCAAATCCCGCATAAATTTTTTGAACTCTATAATTGTCTCATATATATAATTTCTCTTAAAATCAAGTTCTACAAAATAATCCTCTACTATGTAATTCTCTACAAAATAATTCTCTATAAAAGTAATTCTCTTTAAAATCATTCTTTATAAACAACATACTCTATAAAATCATTCTCTTTGAAGTCATTCTCTATAAAAGACGTTCTCTATAAAATAATTTTCTTTAACGGCATTCTCTATAAAATCATACTCTATAAAATCATACTCTATAAATTAATTCTCTATAATAATTATTCTCTATAAACTACATCCTCTATAAAACAATTCTCTATAAATGCATTCTCTATTATTGTTTTCTCTATAAATGTTTCTCTATAAAATACCACCTCTATAATGGTTTCTCTATAAAGACGTGGAACCCCATTAATTATATAAAAAAATTATATATATATATTTCTTTTTATAATAAAAATAAAAACTTCACCCTTCGCCTTCTATTTTATTTGAAATGCACAGACGATTTTGAAATTTATTTTATTTGAAAAAAAATTAGTATTAATAAATTTTAAAATTTAGATATGAGAGAATTTGTTTCATAATATTAATTAAAAAATTTTTATTTCATAAAGAAAAAATTTAATATATCTGAATCTGAAAAAAGAAATTTAATGAAAAAGAAAATTATGATAATGATTTATAATAAAAGGGGTATTTAAAATTTTTTTAAGGAAAGAAAATAGAAGGCGAGGAAACGTTAGAAGTTTTTATTAATAAAAAAAATTATATATTTAAAAAAATATATATTTTAATGTTATATTTTTTTATCTGAATCTAAATAACGAATAAAAAGGAGAGATTTTTATATAATCTTAAAATTTTTAATAAATCCCCCATTTCACCAACACATGTTAAGAAATCCCCCATCAATGTAACCCAAAATTTTAAAATTTATTAATACTACTAAAAAAATTTCAAATAAAATAAATTTCAAAATCGTCTGTGCATTTTAAATAAAATAGAAGGCGAAGGGTGAAGTTTATATTTTTATTATAAAAAGAATTATATATATAAATTTTTTTTATATAATAAATGGGGTTCCACGTCTTTATAGAGAAACCATTGTAGAGAATGTATTTTATAGAGAAACATTTATAGAGAATTAATTTATAGAGAATGATTTTATAGAGAATGCCTTTTATAGAGAATGGTTTTATAGAGAATGTCGTTTATAGAGAGAGAATTATTTTATAGAGAACGTCCTTTATAGAGAATGACTTCAAAGAGAATGATTTTATAAGAGAATTACTTTTAAAGAGAATTACTTTTATAGAGAATTATTTTGTAGAGAATTACATTGTAAAGAATTATTTTGTAGATCTTGATTTTATAGAGAAATATTAAATATGGGACAATTATAGAGTTCTAAAAATTTATGCGGGATTTGAAAAATATATCAAAATTAACATTTTAACAATACAATTCAGTTTATTTTTTGTGCTTTTTCGATGACTTTATTTGTTTCAACAATAGTTTTTTTGTAAAATCTTTTTAGTTCATATCAAGGTTTAGCTACCAAACCTTAAACGATTTGTTAAATATATATTAACCGTTATTAAAGAGAATCTAAACTGAACCAACCATTTTTAAATTTTTTATATATTGCATTTATATATCAGCTACCTAAATTTATTTTTAAATTTTTCAATGTTGTGTTGTAAGCGAAAATTTTAAGATTTAATACTAATTTTTTTTCTTATGGAGCTAAATACTACAAAAGTTGCACATGGAAAATTTAATATCATGAGTTCTGGAAGAATTGTCTATTTAATATTTATTACATTTTATGTAGATTGTGAGTCAGGCGATTATTAGAGATATAAATTTAGTTTATTTGCATTTAGAGAAAATAGAACTGTTAGTTTCTTACATACCAAAAAAGTATAAGAATATAGTGTTGCTTTCTACACACTACATTATGATAACGAAATTGGTGCATCAACTAGTGAGTTTAAAAAACCAGAAATTATAACTTTTTATAATTTAACAAAAACTGGAGTTCATACAGTTGATCAACTATCCTCCATATATTATATATCCAGGAAATCGAATAGATGGCCATTGGTCTTTTTTTTATACTATAGTAAATATATCAATAATAAATGAAGTGATAGTTTTCAAAGCTAATAATTTATCGAATATAAAAATTTATTAAATTATTAGCAATGGAACTGATAACTCCATATATGATCAGCAGTTCTGATGATCATATGCATGCATTTTGTCGTGAATGTTAATACAAAAATTTACATGATATTTGATGATTAATATTTTTTTTAATATTTGATATCTTTTTATAAAATTTATATAAAAAATATATAATAAAATTTGCATTTTTAAATTTTTTTTGGTGATAAAACTATAATTAAAGGAAGGTCTCAGAAAATTATTTCAGCAACTTTAGTAAAATTTGCATAACTGCTTTTAGAAGTAACTATTAATCTAAGATTTTGTATTTATTATTTCCAATAATATTTGAATATATATTCAAAATTGTAGATCTCAAATTTTAATATGTTCTGAGATATAGCTAATCAAAATTTAGGATAAAATAGACCCCACCTTTGTAGTTAAGGGATTTTTTTCCAACTTTGTAGTGAAGGATCAAAAAGTATGGCTTGAATTTTAAAAGGAGAAATATTTCGATGTTAATATTGAACTATTTGCTATGTTTACATTAAATATTCATAATTAAAACTGCACTCGAATTGATAGAGTAAAATAATAAATATATAAAATATTTTCAGAATAAAAAAAACTAAATCTATCCAATTGAATAAGTTAGGTCAGGTTTATTATTTCTTCAAAACCAAGAATTTGATAATCCATAAATATATTTAAAAAATCTGGGTTAGTTATATAAATTTGAGCTATGCCTTATAGCTCGCAGAGGCTTGCTGTTTTGTCGTTATACATTGTAAAAGCATGACTTTACTTAAATAACGCTGAAATTATAGAAGTTAGAAGGCACCACTTTTTAATATTTTATAATCTAAAGCCATCAAAGATTTAAGAAACTTGATGAGCCAATATTTTTTGTTAAAAAAAAATTAGATTGGTAACGGTTATTTTTTAAAATTAAATGGAATAGAACCTGTCACAATGAGGCGATTTGTCATTGTGAATCAAAACCTAAATATAAAAAGAAATATATATATAAAAAGAAATTAATAATAATTAGGAATCACGAAATCATGAAATCAATTTCATCCTTTATTCAAAATTATAACATCAAATTAACAAAATTATAAAAGTAAAAATAATAAAAGAGTAATAAAAATAAAAATAAAAAAATAAAATAAAATACAAAAAAGTTAATAATTATAAAAGATCTTTTTGTATGGTAAAAATTGGCCTTTTTATACTCTTTTCAATCTTCTTAAAACTAATATTCATAACTATTCAAATATAATATTTTTATCACGCGTTATAATAATAAATCCAAAAGAATTCTTTATGCAAATTAAATATAAAGTACAACAAAATCCAAAAGAATTCTTTATGCAAATTAAATCTAACATTTACAACACCTCCCTACTTAAATTAGACCCAACATTCTGCGCATGATCTATCTTCTTTCGATCTCGACTTATTCTTCTTAATCTTTGCTGTCTTCTAAGTTCTAACGAAGACTGACTCTTGTCTAGTATTCTTAGTTTCGAACGACCGTTTGTATCCGATTGTCGCTTGAAATTTTTGGATTCTATCTTCTGTCGCTTGTCACCCTGTGAAACGATCAGCTTTTTATCTCTGTAGGCCACTGACGAACTTGATACACGCCTGTTTTCCACTATCCACGATTGATGAACGATTATCGATGACATCTAGTTTCTTTTCCTCTCTTGTTTTTTGCTAGTCTGTCTTAATCTTTTTTACAATTTATCGTAGCTAGTTTCCTATCATTCTCTTGTAAGTTTCCTATCATTCTCTTGTATTGATTGGTTGTTGCCTCTAATTCTTGTAATCGTATCTATCTTTTAGACTTCCGGGTCTTCTACGACAGTTTGCCCTTGCTGAGATATCGGGTAATCACATCTAATCTTCTAAAATAATCTATTTAAATAACTTCTGAAATATTTTATCACTTTTTATATTAATTCTCAAATATAAACTACCTAATACAATTATACTAATAAAATATATAAATATACCAACTTCATCCTAATGTCTACATTTATCTCCTCTAAACTAATTCTGCCTTTAATAAATGGCATAAATTATACTAAATCTTACATTTATAATACGTAACAAAAATATATATAATAAATTATAAAAATATATCAAATTCTATCACCTCTCTCCCCTTAAGGACTAGACCCATATTTTCATTGAAAAATTTACTTGTACTCATCCTTTAGCTATTGATCCTCATCTTCTTTTCAGCCATGTCTATACTAAATTTATATCTAAAAATCCTATTCTAAAATATATATCAAAATCTATCTTTTAAAAAAATTATCATTGTTATTTCCTCATGTACTCTTTGACACCCAAGTCTTTAAAAAAAAACTGCTGAAATATATAAATCTCTTTTCATACATACATTGTTGAGAAATCAATGACATCTAATCATAAAAGTTTTTATACTAACGTTTATGAACAACCCTTTAACTCTAATCACTATGGTTTTCACCCCACGTCTTTGAAAAACTTATGAACTCTAATCATTATAATTTTTCGCACAACCGTTGTTGAAAACTGATATGTATATTTCTAAAGCATGTTTTTCTTTCTGTTATTATTAGAATAATGTTGCATAATTGATCTCACATCTTATTTATGATTCAAAATAATAAAAATACGATCTCAAATTGAGCTCGATTGCGACATAAATTTTCTAATGACGAAAGCCGTTTCTCTTTATGAAGATTTTTGGTTAATCTACAACCTAATATACTACATTCACATTAATCCTTGAGGCTGTTTTATCTCTCGCAGCCCTTAAAATAAAAGTTAAACGTAAATCTTCAATAAGAATTTAATCAACTATTTCCTAACAATAAAGTTATATTCTAATCTTATTCACCGAATTTTTTAATTATTATATCTTAGCAAATTATTAGTTTAATATTAACTTTCGCAATTTATGTTTCTTTTTCTTTGTCATAATTATTTCTAGTGATCAATTAATAATAAATCTAAAATATCATAGTCTTTATTAGTTTCATAATTCCAATGGTTTTTAGTTTACCAGTAACTTCTAAATATAAAATTCCTAATTATCACCTTTAAATAACTAAACACAATTATATCTTATCTACTATGAATGTTACCTTTGTCTTTAATTTTAGATTTTATATTCCTACATAAACCTAATCTTATCAAAATAATTTCTCTTTTTCAACCTACATTTTAAATATCATCTTGTCAAATTCATATTTTTCTTACCCCTTCTCCGTTTTGAATTTCTTTCTTTTGTATGGAGTTTGGTTGGCATTAGACTGAATTATTGTAAAGGTTCTGTCGCCTCCTCTCTCCAACACCACTGTCACAATGAGGTGGTTTGTCTTTGCTGAATCAAAACCTAAATATAAAAAGAAATATATATATATAAAAGAAATTAATAATAATTAGGAATCACGAAATCATGAAATCAATTTATCTCTTTATTCAAAATTATAACATTATTAAATTAACAAATTTATAAAAGTAAAAAAAATAAAAAAGATTAATAAAAATAAAAATAAAAAAATAAAATACAAAAAAGTTGATAATTATAAAAGATCTTTTTGTATGGTAAAAATTGGCCTTTTTATACTCTTTTCAATCTTCTTAAAACTAATATTCATAACTATTCAAATATAATATTTTTATCATGCGTTATAATAATAAATCCAAAAGAATTCTTTATGCAAATTAAATCTAACATTTACAACAGGACCTTTCTAACAACAAACCTGGTTAACAATATATATTTTTTTAATAATTTTGAAATAATAAATCATTTTCAAAATATCTTTATTTTATCCTTGTATAATAAAAAAGTTTAAAAATATTACATATGACAATTGCCAGTTTTCTATGTTATATATAAAAAAAAATCAAAAAAGTTCAAAAATAACGATTATGGCAATTGTCACTTTCCTGTGGTCAGTGTCTACATGAGCGGGGGGGGGGGGGGGGGGGGGGGTAGGAACAGCGTCTACATGGCAGAAAATTTGATGGAGGCAACCCCCATCCCAAATCTACCCCTACCCCCCTAAAAAATTTTCGCGGCCTTCGGCCGCGATATTTGCCTTAATCAAGAAAATCTTATATTAAGTCACTATTTATACCCTTACAAACATTCAGACCTGCTTTGGAAAAAAAAATTTACAAACTGATAACTATTGTTACTATCCGTTTTCAATTAACTTATATTTAAGTAGGTAGTGCAATCTTTTCATAATTTGATTGATAATCAATTTATTTTCATAAAAATTAATATAATAGTATTAAATGAGATAACATATTTACATTACTATAAAAAAATATCAAAAATTTAGTAAAAAAATATAAGATGAGTAATTTTAAAGAGGTATAGCTTGATTCTATAATTACTAATACCTTTATATTAAGTAAAAAAAACAAAATGAGTAATTTTAAAGAGGTATAGCTTGATTCTATAAATACTAATGCCTTTATATTAATTAAAAACATTCATATAGATATAACTATTATATAAAAAAAATTTTTATGTAAATATAACTTTTATATAAAATATTAGAATAAAGAATATAGTATATTTTGCACAAGAATTATAAAAACATTTATGTAAATATAACTATTATATAAAATATAAAATGAATAGAGTATATTTTGCACTGGAAATATAAATTTTTTTATGTAAATATAACTTTTATATAAAATATGAGAAAAAAATGAATATAGTTGCACTGGAATTATAAAAACATCTATGTAAATATAAGTTTTATATAAAATATTAAAATAAAATGAATATAATATATTTTGCACTGGAATTATAAAAACATTTATGTAAATATAACTATTATAAAATATTTAAATAAAATGAATATAGTATTATATTATGCACCGGACTAGAATGATATAAAAAACTATTAAATTAAATTTACATTATTAAAAAGGCGTATATAATTAGCTGTGAAAAAGATATAACTTATTTTATTAATAATTTAGTTAATCTTTTAGACGTAGATGCAAATCGCGTTATAATGTCGTCTATTTTAAATCTTTCAAAAACATCAATTTCGCTGGATATTAGAAGTAAATTTTCTAAAAAGGGGTCAGAAATTTTATTCCGCATTCTAGTTTTATTTATTTTGACTTTGCTCATCACTCTTTCGGCTGAACAAGAAGTAGTTGGTAGAGTCAATAAATATTTATATAATAAATATAAATTAGAATAAGAATTTAATTTATTTAAAAGACGATATGGTAGTATAAATGAATATTTTATCCATTTTTTTGTATTAATTATGTTATCGTTATTGATATCTTCCTCGGTTTCATCGTTTACAATACCTTTAATTATATATAATTTTAAATAAAATATCAATAAATTACTTTCATCAATATATAACCCATCATTCTTTTTTATTTTCAAAAGATCCTTGCAATAAATGATTGCTTGTGAATCCAAATATAAAGATCGAAAATCATTATATTCACGAGCAATATCTTGAGCATTTAATTGGTAAGTATGACAAATTTGAGATATTTGCCACCCTTCTATTCTATCATTGGCTATAATTCCAGCTGGTGTAAAAAGAGATATTTGAGATAAAAAATTTAAACAATCATAATTAAATCTTTCATTTAAATCATTAATGATTGTATCAAGCACAGGGAAAAATATTTCCCTTTTATATCTATAATGCTAAATAATAATTTTAAATCTTTTTTTATTCAACTTGTTTTTTTTTTGTTTAACATAATTATTGAATGCTGTTTGATCAAATTTGAATATTGATTTTATATTATGCAATTCCGTTGTAACATTATTCTTTTTCAAATAACTGTTAGATAAGGAATGCAATTTTAAAAAAATATTATCCCCATTAGCTACATTTTAAAATTATTTATAGAAATCGTAACTAATTTTAACCTCTTAGTCTTTGTAATTTATTTTTTGTGTGTTGTATTAATTTAGTTACCATAGCCAAATCATTACCAACTGCCTGCATTTCAATACAAGCCTCATGTGTGCATTTCAATATTTCTTTCAAAATAAATAGACTTAATATGAAATCTTCATCCTTAATTCTTGTTAATAATCCATCGGCAATAGAAGAGGTGCTTGGGTCATTAGAATCTTTTAATTCATTTAATGATGCTATAATATGTTCATAAACATCTAAAAAAATTTCTACAGCTTTATAAGATGATGACCAATTTCTAAAAAAAGATAAGTTACATTAAAAATATTATATTTACCTTGTTGTATTTTTTATTCTTTTAAGAGATTTTTTAGACTTTGTCATTTGATATTTAACAAACACTCCTTGACGTCTTACCCCATTCATGAAATTATATAACTCATCCAATATTCCCATTACCTTTTTCATTTCTATTTTGCATCCACAAACATGAGCAACTACTAAATTGAGCCTATGTGCATGGCACCAAATATATATGGCTTTTGGAGCCTCTTTCAATATTAAAGCCTGCATTCCTTTGTATACTCCTCTCATATTCCCTGCACCATCCATACTTTGCCCAACCATATAATCAAGAGGAAGACCAAGATCTTTGAACTTAGAAAAAACATGTTTCTTTATATTTTCCCCGGTGGTTTCTGATGTTGTAAAAACATGGATGATCCTTTCTACAGGATGTGGATGCGGATCATCTTCTATATATCTTACAAGTAAAGCAATGCATTCTTTTTTAGACACATCATATGTTCCATCTAATATGATGCTATAGGCACAATTCTCTTTAATTTTTTGAATAATACATTTTATTATTTTTATCTTAATGACTTCAATAATTTTTTTCACATGGCCATATGACAATAAATTTATATAAGGTCTTGAAATTTTATCTGATTTTTTTCTCCTCAATTTTTCGTTGTTATCAATGTATGCCCGTAAAGTTGGAACCGTTTTTGCCATTAATTTTATGAGGCACATAAAATTACCTTCATTCGAATTAGTGCCCCAAAAGGCTATGTTACATTTTATAAGGTATATAATGGCATCAATAATATTATGAACTATATTACGATTTTCCATTATTATATCAAGCCTATTTGATAGAAAATGATCTTGAATACGCTTATTTGCAAGCCAAGTCATGTTGGTGTATTCACAATCCTTATGAATAGAAGATGACTCATGTCTCTCTAAGTCACGCTTAAAATTTTTCCAATTATTTACTCCAAGTTGAGTCCAAAAAGTATTGGATTTAGGGCCACCAAACATAAGACAATAAAGACAAAAGACTTTGTCTAAAGTGGTGCTATAGGATAACCAATTTCTTGGTTTGAGGGAACCATCAATATTAACCTTTTTATAATAGGATATATTCATGCTCCTATTTAAAAGTAGAAATAATGGATGCGTAAAAATTAATAAAAATTAAATTTTTTAAAAACCTTTTGTGAGTAACAGGATATTGAAATATATTTGAACATGGCTGACATGGGCCTATGGAAATTATGAAATTAATCAAGATATTTGTCATTCTAAAGAATATGAAATGAAAAGGGTCATTAGGCTCCTTTTTTTTATATAATTGAATAATATTTGGGCCTTTAATGTTTGAAATATTTTGGCTTGCATTGGGATTGATAATTGGATGAAAAAAAGATATAATTGGGGAATTTTCAATAACTTTGTGTGTTTGCTAATTATTATTAAAGAGTGTATAGTTTTATTTAAATTAAATACCTCATCATTCAAAATCAGCAGATCACTGGAACTGGGCATTGTATGAGAAGATAATATAATTTGGGAATCTTCAGTAAAAGATTTGTGCTAATTATTAAATAAAGAATAATTAAAATTTGTTTATTCATGAAAATATCTGAATATCCTCATTTATTCCCTTCAAAATTATAAAAGAAATCTTATTTAAATTAAGTACCTCATTATTCAAAATCAGCAGATCACTGGAACTGGGCATTGTATGAGAAGATAATATAATTTGGGAATCTTCAATAAAAGATTCATGCTAATTATTAAATAAAGAGTGGTTAAAATTTGTTTACTTATGAAAATCTTAATTTTAATAAAAATTTTATTCTTAATTAAGATATAGAAAAGTGGAAAATATTTCATAATTTATTCACTTCAGAATTATCAAACAAATCTTATTTAAATTAAGTACCTCATCATTCAAAATCACCAGATCACTGGAACTGGGCATTGTATGAGATAATATAATTTGGGAATCTTCAGTAAAAGATTTGTGCTACTTATTAAATAAAGAATAATTAAAATTTGTTTATTCATGAAAATATCTGAATATCCTCATTTATTCCCTTCAAAATTATAAAAGAAATCTTATTTAAATTAAGTACCTCATTATTCAAAATCAGCAGATCACTGGAACTGGGCATTGTATGAGAAGATAATATAATTTGGGAATCTTCAATAAAAGATTCATGCTAATTATTAAATAAAGAGTGGTTAAAATTTGTTTACTTATGAAAATCTTAATTTTAATAAAAATTTTATTCTTAATTAAGATATAGAAAAGTGGAAAATATTTCATAATTTATTCACTTCAGAATTATCAAACAAATCTTATTTAAATTAAGTACCTCATCATTCAAAATCACCAGATCACTGGAACTGGGCATTGTATGAGATAATATAATTTGGGAATCTTCAGTAAAAGATTTGAGCTAATTATTAAATAAAGATTAATTAAAATTTGTTCATGAAAATATCTGAATATCCTCATTTATTCCCTTCAAAATTATAAAACAAATCTTATTTAAATTAAGTACCTCATTATTCAAAATCAGCAGATCACTGGAACTGGGCATTGTATGAGATAATATAATTTGGGAATCTTCAATAAAAGATTTGTGCTAATTATTAAATAAAGAGTAGTGAAAATTTTAGGCAAATGACTTATTTTATTCTTAATTATAATATATAAATTTTTTTTTAACAAAAGTTGAAATATTTAAATATTCTTATAATTTATTTCCTTCAAAATTGATAAAGGGCATAATAAAAATGTACCTATATATTAAAAATCTTATCTTTAATAAAAATTAAAAGTATTATGCTCAAATTATAGATGAAGAATTGGTTTCTACTAATTCACAAAATTTAAGGTTATTTTTACTTATATTTATTGTCATGAATTAAAATAATATATATAAAAAATTACTTTTTGGAAGTAAGATGTTATTGATTTTTTTTGTAACTTGGTTTCAACCCCATTTGTGATATTGAATGGAATATCTTTATTTAAGGATACCCAATTATTATCCTTTTTGATAGCTATCTTTGTAAATTTGATATCAGATAACTTGACATGAGGATGTTTATGTTTATAATGGTTATTTATTTTGTCACTTCTTATTTTAGAAGTTTTACAATTAATATAGTCACATTTGACTTTATATATTGTTTTGTTACTTGGCATCTAGAATAAAAATGAAATAAATATTTAGATAATATTTTTTTACTCACTGATGGCCATCAAGAATGATGGAGAATCATAATTTTATCCTTTATTTGACGGTGGATGGCTGAATCTTAAAATTCTCCTATCTTATGAGGTGTGATTCAGAAATTAAATTTATATTTGTTTAAATGAGGGTGTAATTTTAAAATTTTCCAGTGGTTTTACAAAATATATTAAAGAAATATATATTTAGATATTTTAATATATGTGCACAATAAATTTTTATTCATTTGTATTATATTTTTAATCTAAAAAATATATTAAAATCTTTTAAAATAAATTCTTATTCATTTGTATTTGTAATTTATAATCAAAAAAATATATTCTAGACCCTTATTGTTTTTAAATTAAAATTCATAAATATACACTCTATTAACATATTTTATAAAAATAATGAAAAATTTACTGATTCAATCATCATCATATAAAGGAAATTTATTATGCACCCATCATTGAATAAAGAAGAAAATTCTGATTACCAGTCATTCATAATGGACTATCAGCTATTAACTTATATTTTTGATAATGTTTTCTTAAAAGATTCCTATTATATTATATGTAAGCTTAATGCATGGTCACAAAAAATATAATATTTTTTGTTATTTATGCCAAAACAATCATGGATCAATATTTCCTCCATTATACACTTCACAATTGATTTCTTTATTTCTTAGTGTCCAACAATTTTTAGAAATGTATGATGCTTTGAAATCATAGTTTCTTTAAATTAACAATCCTAATAAATTTTGCAAATAATTGAAAACAGGCATATTTGTGATTTGCCCATTCATTTATCTTCAAATAAAGTCTGAGAAATGATATATTTTAATCATTGAAATTAGAGACCTTCACTGGCATTGATTTCTTCATCCAGCCTAGGTCATAAGTAAAAATAATTTTCAGGCCCAGTTCATGTTTAATGGAAATCCAAACCCAAACCACATCATAGGTTTCAAAGATTATTCCCAAGCCATATCCAAAAATTTAATTTATTGTTAACAAAAATAAACAATATTTCAGTATATGGAATCACTTTGTCAATTCATTTAATTGAAATCTTTTCTTAAATCAATAATCAAATGAGAGGAATAGATTATCTGTTCATTCTCCCAAGATTTCTATAAATATTTAGAAAAAAGGCCAAATATATTATGGAAAATTTGATGTTATATAAAATTTATCTAATAATGAAATAAAAAATTTATCAATTCTTTTAACAAATTTTTTATCACACAATGGTTTTCACCTCTCACTTATAATTTTGTATATAATTTACACTTACCTCAAAGAATCATTTATCATAAATAGAAATCAATTATGGGTCCAACCTGATTGCCTCACAAAAATGTGGTAATATTTACCCCATTGAAAATGATTATTTAAAAAATTATTAGCAAAAATAATTGCCATGGTTCAAAACCCAGATAACTTATTAAGTATACATATTAAGATTAAATAAAAATAGCTTCATTCTTTATTATATTTATTTATCTATCATCAAATTAAGGAAAATGCAATTATATGCTTAAAAAATTACCTTTTTAAAATCCAAAAATGTTTCTTTATATTGTTAATTGAGTAGGATTATCTTATCATAAAAGGGATTCTTTATTCAAAAGGTCCTTATTATAAAAAAATATATATTGATAATTTAAAATTGATACTGTGAAAATCTACGTCATACGTCATAATAAGCGCAATTACCCTTTATCGCTATATGAAACAGCAGAGCTACGCTTGGACTATCTCATCCCATCTAATTGGGTTAAGAAATTTGGGGGTAACCTATGAGATGAGCCCATCCACAGTTCTTGGGCAGGCTGCAGTTACCTGTGCGCGCAAGAGGCGAAACCACTTGCTTAAACGCCTACAAATCCCATTATGTAAATGAATTTTCTAAAAATTTAAAAAAATAAATATAGTGTATAATATTTATAAATTGACAGATATCTTTTCTTTAATTGACATTTTTCAGAAAATCAACGATAATCATATCGATTATTGGATTTAAAAATATCATAATACAAGTCAAAAATTACCCTCCAAAAATCAATACCTACCCCCCAAAAACAAATGCCTACCCCCCAAAAATCAATATCTACCCCCCAAAATTAATACCTACCCCCCAAAATGCCAATATTTTTTGGAGGCATTTGTCTCCTACCCCCCCGGCCATGTAGACACTGGGTAGGAACAGTTTGCATCCTAATATCTATAGAGGGGTAGGGGGTAGGCATTATGGGGGATAGGCTATAATAATCTAGAAAATTTTCCATTACATTTTTAAATTATCTATGGATAACATTAGGGGGGTAGATATATATTTTAGAGGGGGGTTTGCATCCAGTGAATATACTGCCATGTAGACTTAATTTAACATATTAACAATATCTATTTTTACCCATTTGCTTTAAAAAATTCAAAAAAGTTCAAAAATAACGATAATGACATTGTCACTTTCCTGTGGTACATCTTCACCGAAATTTTAATTTAACATGTTAACAATATCTATTTTTACCCATTTGTTTTAAAAAAATTCATAAAGGTTCAAAAATAACGATTATGACAATTGTCACTTTCCTGTGTTACATCTTCACTGAAATTTTAATTTAACTTATTAACAATATCTATTTTTACCAATTAGCTTTAAAAAAATTCAAAAAAGTACAAAGATAACGATTATGACAACTGTCACTTTCCTATGGTACATCTTCACTGAAATTTTAATTTAAACAATATCTATTTTTACCCATTTGCTTTAAAAAAATTCAAAAAAGTTCAATAATAACGATTATGACAATTGCACTTTCCAGTAGTATATCTTCTCTGAAATTTTAATTTAAGATGTTAACAATATCAATTTTTACCCATTTGTCTTAAAAAAATTCAAGAAAGTTATAAAATAACGATTATGACAATTATCACTTTCCTGTGCATCTTCACTGAAATTTTAATTTAACATGTTAACAATATCTATGCTTTAAAAAAATTTTCAAAAATAACGATTATAAAAATTGTCATTTTTCTATGGTACATCTTCATTTAAATTTTATTTTTACATCTTAATAATAATTATTATAATAACCTATTTACGATACAATAAATCAAATAAGTTAAAAATAACGATTATTACAATTGCCACTTTTGTGTGTTACTTACATTACATCTTCTTTTTTTTTTACCTATATATGTCAAAAAAAGTTTAAAAAAAATAATGATTATGAAAATTGTCGGTACACATCTTTATTAAATTTTTATTTTAATATAACATGCTTACTAACTCATTTACTTCAAAAATAATATCAAAAAAATAATAATTTACTATAACATTATAAAATATGAAGATCGTTGATCTAAAATATTTTTAAATAAAAGATCTTCAAAGATCTAGCTGCTCAAAAATTTTTTAAAATAAAAGATTTTCAAATTTTACATCGTTGCTAAAAAATTTTTAAAAGTAAAAGATCTTCAAATTTTACGATTTTGAGCAAATGTACAACTCTGGTTTGGTCCGATCTTTACCAAAGCTGGACCGTAACTTTCACTACCTTGGGTAAAAGACACTCGTTTTAAAATTTAACTTCATAGTACTATAAAAATAATTTTATTCAAATATTATAAGAAGTTTGATCGAAACAATGGGATAATCTACAGATGTCAAATGCGCTATGATATCAATCATTATGTTTTTTAAGCAGAGCATATTACAAATATTGAATTTTAAAAATATAATGAATAATGATATATCTGTTTTATTAATAACCGCGAATGTTGGTTCGGTGTTTGAATTTGTAAGTCATAATAAATTTTATTATAAAGTTTACAAATTATCTGTATATTTATAAAAAATTAAATAAAACAAGCAATATTTGATTGTTTTAAAAAAAAAATTTAAATTATGAAAATATACATGTTCTTCATGCAATTATGATTATTTTTCTATAATTTGATAATTTAATTAATTTATTTATGATAATATATTGTGTACAATGGTTATATATTTATATATATAATAATTGTTAAATATATATATAGGTGTATTTTAGAGAAGATATGATATTTCATTATATGTTAAAAAGGATTGTAAAAAAAATAACTTCAGATTTAATATTTGATTGCGATTCAATTAGATTTTCACAGAACTACAAATTAGGATTATTTTACTAAATTTTAACTGCTAATTTTTATATATATTTTATTAATTATTCTATATACCAATGTTGAATAGTATTTAAATTTATATTGAAGTAATTTTTGACTCATTTTTACATTTTTGACAATTTCTAAATTTGTAACTGAGTTATTGAAGAGTTGTGATCAAAGGATTGAAAATCCTGGATTTAATCTAAATTTTGGTACGTTGGCTGGATCCTTATAGTGTTTTTTTAAATAACGCATAAAGTGCCAAAATTTTGTTTTGCCTAAAACCATCAAAACAAGATATTTTCTATAATAATTTAACCTTTGAAAATTTTTTACATCCAATTTATACATTTTATTAAAATATATATTTTTATTATTTAAGAAAGATTTATTGAATTAGTAATAAAATTATAATTCAATATAAATTGAAAATAAAAATTCTAATAAGCTTCTATACATCAATATATTGCATTTTCCATATAGGTTTCTATATTTAGAAAACTAGATAATAGTTCAAGTTATATAGACTTTACTACATTTTTTGTTGGATTTAATATTATTATTTGCACCAACTTCATTGTAAATTTAGGTTAAATTTTTAATCAAAGTTTTTATGTAGATAATCCTATAATTTATTATATCTAGATACATTATGGTATCATAAACTGTAATGAGCCATCTTTCTAGACTTTGTTGAATATAATCTTGTCATCTTAATAATTTAAATGCAGATATTGTATCATCATATACTTGATATTGAGTAAGCTGCCTAAGAGAATGTTTCAAAATATTGTCATATTAGGCTACACCAATATTAAAGATTGAATCAGATCAACACTGATATTTAGCATTTTAAAAAAATAATAAAGTGTACTTTAATTGGTGCTTATAGACAAAGGTTTTTTTGTATACTGTGGTGATGCTACATTTTATTTGAATACTATAAAATCATGATAATTTTATATATTAATGTTTGAATATAAAATCATCATAATGCAATGTTAGTGTTACATAAATAATAATTAAAAATATTTGAACAAAATGAATGAATGTTTGAATATAAAATCATCAAAATGCAATGTTAGTGTTACATAAATAATAATTAAAAATATTTTAACATTAATGAATGAGTTAATTTTAGTTGTGAAAATAAATTTTTTACAGGAACAAGAAAAATAAATATTAATACAAAAATTTCACAATAAAATAAAATTATCCAAAAAATATTTTAAATAATAATAAAAATCAGAGTGGAGCACTGCTACATTTTTTCAAAAACACCTGGAGCGCCCCCTCCTTTTTAAAATTGGAGAGAGGGAGCTGAAGCTAGCTCTTCTGGAGTGGAGTAGCGCCACTCCACCGCTCCTTTAAATTTATGTATAAATTAAATTATTTTTTAAATATTAATAAAAATTTCATTTTTATTAAATTTAAATTTATCCATTATTAAATGTTTAGCTGAGTTTTATATTGGTTTTTCATCTAATCATTTTAAATATTAAACATCAAGTTTTCCTTTTTATATTGAAAATTTTTTGGAAAATCTTGTTAGTCATATTAATATTCGATTTATAGATATATAATAAAAAATAGTTTTAGATATTATGGATTTAGATATCATAGATGAAGAAATCGAATTTCCATTTCCATCATACAAAAAATATTTTAAACTTCTAAAAGATGTTGATCCAAATGATCAAACAAATTTAAGGGCAAAATGTCTTTTGTGTTTAAATAAAACTATTTAATTTTCAAAAGTTAGCAGCCTCAATAAAAAAGCATCTAAAAGTAAAAAATCGTTCTTTTAAATACAAATTAATTTGGAAGATTTTTTTGGATTCCATGAAATTGATTATCAGGAAGATAATTATTGGACAAATATTTTTTAAATAATGATACCAAAATTACTATTTTTGATAAATTCCCTGAATTAAAAAATATCTTTATAAAATACAATACCCTGCTTCCCTCTAGTGCTCCTGTGGAGTGCCTATTTAATATTGGAAAACAGGTCTTAGGGGAGAGGCGTGGATGTTTGATAGATTCTAATTTAAAATTTATTACTTTTAAATTTAAAATTTATTACTTTTAAAAGCTAATAAAAGGTTATAAATATTTTGATAGATAATTTAATATAAATAAAACTTTTTGATAAAAAAAAAAAAGATTTTATTTCTAATACCCTCTAAAAAAATGAAAATCAAAGGAGCGGTTATGGAGTGGGACTCCATTACTTGGAGCGGGAGCTAGCTCCTTTTAAAAATGTAGTAACGGGAGCTAGCTCCTTTTGAGAAGGTAGGAGCGGGCGCTAGCTACTTTTAAAAAGGATAGTTAACAACTGATAAAAATACATATATTAATATTTTTACCAATCTCATCGCATCAACATGATTGATAGTCTTAATGAAAATGATTAAAAATCATAATTTACAAATCTGCACATGCTTATCCTATATGAGCCATGAGCAGGCACTACAGATTATGAAATATTTATCTATACATTTATATAAATGCATCTACAAAATATAAAATTCAGTATAAAATTATTTTTTTGGAAATTAAAAATAATAATATTACATTTAATTTATTTTTTGTAAATTTAAAATATACTATAATTTCATTATAATTAAATTAAAAAAATACATACTATGACTAAATTAATCATATTGCAGAATTATTATTCTCTTAGTAACAGATCCTCTAAACAGGCATCACAACCACTCTCCATGGCTTATGATCCAATTTTCTCCAAAATACTTCACTAATTACTCCAAATTTTTAGTTGTGCTCATTGATGTTTGAAATTCACCCACAGAAAAGCCTTGCTATTGGTCGGCACAGGTAAAAAATATATCATGACCTTGATTTGAGATTGATGGAATTTGTCACTGCTCTAACGATTGATCACACGATATTCCTTGACTATCTATATCCAATGGACAATGCAAAGATAAATATTTCGGCTTATAAAGGGTGGGCACGTGGCAGATTTGTATGTTTTTAATCATTTTCATAAGATATTCAATCACATTGTTGATGCAACATGATTGGTAAAAATACTAATATGTATTCTATTTTTGAATTTTTTTTGTATATTATTATATTTGTTGAGAAATTCTTGTATATATTTATATAACAAAAAAATGTGTATTTTTTGTATTTTGAAAGTTGATAATAATAATTGAAATTTTATAAAAATCATTTCTAGAAAATACTGAAACATGATTTTCATCAAATGTTGAATGGCAAATTGCTCCATATTAATTATTATCCGTTTGTTGAAACAATTTTTTATACTTACAATTGTTTGTTTTAAAACTTCATATTAAATTTTTCTATAATATTCATTAACTGACGAAATAATATGATAAATTCAAGCCTTCTTCGAATCTTAAAAGCGTTTTTTCTTTCACTTTAAAACGGGTTTTTCTAAATTTAATTCCTTTGACTTTAATTTAGCTTTTCTCCAAACTTATGGAAACTCTTGTCTAATTGCCAGATTTGTGATCAGGATTTCTATTTTATATTTAACATTTTAAAAATTTAATGAAGAACTTTGGATTTTAGCATTAAAACTTATACTCTCACAAATATTGGTATCATTTTAAGAAATAAAAAGTTTTCAAAAAGCTTTATTTAAAGTTTTATTTGGTGTAGTAAATATTTTGCTCTAATAGCAACCTCACTGCAAAATATTTTCTAATTTCTAATAAAGATTTTATTGTCCTTCATTTTCCCTTTCTTCTCTGCTTGTCTTCCCTTTTCTTCTCTGCTTGTCTTCCCTTTTCTTCTCTGCTTGTCTTCCCTTTTACGTATTTACAATAATTACAATGTATTAACACGGTTAGTTTTGATGCAACCCTAATTTATATTTCTGAGTACAAGAATTATTGGTATCACTGATTTAAAAAAACCGGCATAATTATAAAAAAGATAGGCCTCTTTGTAATTCACTAGCGTTCACTTTTGGGCAAGTTCTAGCAACTTGCGGAAGATAAGATAATATTATTTCATAATTCCTTTCTTATGATTTTACAATATTATTTGCAAACATCAGCATGCAGGGCATAATGGACCAAAAAAGTTTAACTATAATTTTTATCTAGGTTGGAACGAAATATCTCCATGCGTTTGGGAGAATCAACAAGATAATTGATCTCTTTCTTTCATTGCAATAGTATTAAATGAACCTCGTACTTCAAGATTTGATGTATGAGTATGACTTGTACAATATACGTAGGTTGCTCTAGATTCTTCATTACGAAGATGCTTTATAAACCAGATATTTTTACGTTAGAGGCTCCATAGCATTGACCTCTTTTATTTTTAAAGTTCAGAATTTGCTTCAATACAAAATCCTTATATTTCATTTATATTTAAATCCTCTTCCAAATAACGATAATATATAATAACTTATATATTTAACGATAATATATAATAACTTATATATTTTTTTTATGGGGGCCCAGCGAGAGAGGAGAGAAGAAAAATCATAGTAATATAGAAATAATAAATAATGATTTTTTTCTCTTTGTTTCATTTTTGGATGAGATTTAATAATTCCTCGCCACCCTCTCTAGAAATTGGCCTCCATTCGGCGCCTATGTTTATAGACCTTCAAGTAAAATCTTGATATTATTCTAGGTGGCCCGAAATTTTGCAGAAATATTAATAGTTTGAGATAAATAAAATTTTTTATAGAAAACAAAAGTTAACAAAATTAAATGAAAAAACCGACAAATGATAGTTTTGGTGCTTCTAATTAGAGGTGGGCGCGGGCCTAATTTTTTATTCACGGCCCGCCCACTCACGGTGGTAATAAAAAAATTCACGCCCACTCACGCTTTCCACTAAAAATTTTTTGATCCGACCCGCCCGCTCACGAAAGGCAATATTTTGATTCACGCCCGAAAATTTACGGTGTTTTTAAATTTTTCAAAATTGGTAACCTATAATTATACACTTTTTTGAATTTATTCTATTTATTTCTATAATTCCATAACAAAAAATAAATACAATTTATAAATCGAAATTTTTATTTAAAAAAAGAATAATATCCATGTTTTTTTATTTTAATTGAGTACGCCTTTCCTCCAACAAGCGATTGGCTACAGAAAACAATCTTTCACTAGATGCCGAACTTGCAGGGGCGGATAAAATTTTACTCGCTAATTTTTTCAAAAAAGGAAACGAATTTTCATGCTTCCAAAACTTCAAAATACTATCATTATTATTTGTCTTCTGAGCGATGAATCTTTTAAGTTCATCCTCGCAGCTTTCTTCGATAGATGGTGAAGGTTCATCAGTATCATCTAGAAATTCTCTAAATGTTTCATTTAGAATATTAGGTTTCTTGTGAGTGTAGGACGAATTATGACAGCTAATAGTTGGTTTTGGCATTGACTTATTCATATCATATTTTATGACATTTAGCATGGTAGTTATATATATATCGTTTTTTTCTTCTTCTGATAAAAACTTAAGGCTTTTGAAATTGGGATCCAAAATTAAGCCTACTTTATGTAGGGGCTACATGATGAATCCTTCTTTTAAAAGACATCCAGTCCTGATTTTTAAGGCTTCTATTATTGTTGTATCCCCTTCAGAGGGTTGACAAAACTGTAATAATTTTTGTCTCCACAGATAAACTTCATTTATTGTGGGATGAGAATCGGCACTCAGATTTTCCGAGCATTCTTTAAATATTGATAAAAAAAATTCTAACTGCCGTAAGATGGTAATATCAACAGTGGCTAGTCGATTTAATTCTTGCTTGCTAAGCAAGTACACCTGAATTTCGGAATATGATTTTAAGAAACTCTGTATCATGATATATACAGAGTTCCATCTAGTTATCACATCTTGTTTAAGAGTGTAGCCTAGTTTGCTGTTAGCGGTTGATTGTTTGAAATACTGTACTATTTTTTTCACACCATTTATATTTACAGCTATTTCATGTAAACAATTATCAAAAATGTAATGCACAATGTTGTTTAATATATGGCATATGCAGGGTAGCCTTTCATCATCTTTAAACACATATTAGGTTTGCCCCGTTATCAGTTACCACTATACATTTACTTAAATAATTTTCTATGTCTGTGTATTCTTCCAAAATTGAATTTACTATAATTTTGATATTGACTCCTGTTTTTTTTTCATCCATTACCCTTGTAGCCAAAACAAATGATTTTAATTCAAAATCCTTATTGATAACATGCCCAGTAATAGTTAACTACGATTTTTGTACTCATCTGACCAAAAGTTGGTGGTTATGGACAAGTAATTGTTTTTGATCAAGCTTTTTATCTTAATTTTAATTTCTTCATATATTTTTGGAGCTACTGTATTCATAAGAGTTTTTCGACTAACAAGTATATCTTTTATATTTTGTTGTCCATATGTAACACCAACATTAATTAACTCTTGGCAAAGCTTATAAAATCCTTCACTTTCTGTAGCATTTAAAGGTCTTAGATCTTTACATATAAAATATAACTGATTTTTTTGTAAAACTGATTTTGATTTATCTTACATTTGTCTTTTAAACATATTATATATTGTCTGATCAGAATGTTTTTTTGTATTTTTTATGACACATTTATGTCTTAATAAACTGGCAGACCTGTTTTACATTTATATGACATCACGTTTTGGCAACTTGTACATTTTACAAAATTTTGTAAGGTACCTTTATACTAAATTGTTAAGAAATTATCCCATATCTTGCTTTTTCTGTTTTATGGAGCTTTAAATTCAATATCAATGTCTTTCCTTCTTATTTTAGTTAACATCTCTGATTTTGAAATCATGTCCATCTCAATTATTTCATTATTATTATTAACATTATTATCTCTTTCTCTACTGCTTTGTGTATGATTTTCCTCTTAAAGTTCGCTTAAAATCATTTATTTAATAAATAAAGAATGAATGAATTAAGTATTTTTCTAAAATTATTTAAACCAAAGATTATAGTAAAAAAATTAAGACCATTTGTTTAAAATTTAAATAATATATTAGAAAAATATATCATGTGATTTTCCTTAGCCTGATTAATAAAAAGGTATAAACCAAAATTAATAAAACAACAAGATTTTAAATTATATGAGTAATGTTTGAAATTTATAAAATATTTGTTAACTATATTTTAATATATATATAATCCAAATATGCAACTTTATTTATGACAATTATATTGAGTATGTTAGATTTGTTGGTAAATATGAGAAAATTTAAACAATGAGTTATATTAATTTCTAATCATTATAATTTGAGTGAAAATGATTAGTATAAATAATAAAGATAAATGAAAATAAAACATATTTAAATTTATGTATTACCATATTTCCATTGATTTATTATTTTTCATAGGTTGTTGTATTTTGTTGGGTCTAATAGTACTCTAGATCTTTGAGTTTAATTGTTAATAAAGAAATACTTATTATATATTAATATAATATTATAAATTCTACTCCTTCACTACTCATACATTACATTAAAGCAATTATTACAAATAATAAAAAGTAAAAACTTTCAATGACATTTGTAAATGCATAAAATTTATAATTTAATGCGAAGAATTACATTTTCATTGTAAAATAATATATATAATAATAAAATACTTGAAAGAAGATCACTATATACATGTAAATAAGCTTGTTGATAAATTTGATTTGAATTTGAACATATAAATTTTAAAAGAAAAAGCTAGCAAAAGTAAAAATAGGTTCACTCGGATGTTGTTTATAAAATGCGAAAGATTTTTTGTTTTCAAAAACTAATCTTTTTTTAAAAAAAACTAAATTAAATTAAATAATAAATAAAATATATATTTTTTAAAATTATAAATTTGCAAATTTATATTAATAAAAAACAATTTAAAAAATTAAAATTTCCGTGATTTATGGAAATTTGTGTTCACGCCCACTCACGCACGGGGAAAATTTTGGAAAGGCCCGTCACGCCCAGTCACGCCTAAAAATTTAAAATTTCTTCACATTCACGCCGTGACCCACCGTGCGCGTAATTTCACGGCCCGCGACCACCTCTACTTCTAATGTTAAACATAAGATTAAAACATTTTTTGATATACATTAATTAAATATCACAAATTGAATCAAAATCTTTTTGATATATTTAAAAAACTAATACATCCATAATTCAAATATTCAAATTGCGCAAGGTCTATAGGTCGAAAGGCTTGGTAATACGAAAGGCTAAAAAATATGAGAAAATCGATTTCCGGTGGAAAATTTGAAGTAATAGAACGTTACGACAAACATATGATCAAATCTGCATGTTGCCTAAATGGAAAAAATATATTAAGTATGAATATGAAAATTATCTTCAAGGATGGAGTACTTTGTATTTTATTTAATCATATATTTCTTATTTTAGGTTTTAAATTTTATTTCTAGAGTACCTTCCCCGTCCCTTTTTTTAAAATAAATAGGGCCGTAGGTTTTGGGTGTGGGCTGTTCTCTTGGTCCTCCCTATCTGTTCCAGCCCACAGACGTTTAAATAAATAATAGTTTATGAACTATTATGGGTACAAGTACGTGCGGCTTGCCCACAAACGTGTGAAGGGCTCCTCATATTTTACTTTATACCTAACTTAAATCTTCCAATTAGATGGAAATGAGGAAAACCTAGCATAGCTCTGTTGTACCTACAACGTTGAGAGGGCGTATGCGCTTTATTCCGTATTCCGTATAAAATAAAAATAACAAAGAAAATGATTAATGAGATATTTTATTGATTTATTGCTTTTTTTAGAGAAAAAATATTATAATATCATTACATAATATGTATATTAAAAATATGGAAATTTTAAGATCTTTTCAATTTTTTTAAAAATTCTTTGAAATAAATTGCGGTTTTTAAAAATTAATTTTATTATATTAATTTTTAAATTAATATTTGATAATGATTTTATATATAAGTCTAAATATATTGAATTACTTGATAAAGAAGTAAAAGATTTTTAAGGATTTTTTTAATTTGCGAAAGCATTTAAGAGGGGAAAGGCTAACATCTTAAACGTAATTTTAAATATAATTATATCATTGAACTCAGAATTAAATTTCCTATCTAAAACCGTTTAGATATATTTTTTTGCGTTTCCGGTTCAAAAAATATATTTTTTGTCGCAAAAGCATTTTAGAGGGGAATGGCTAACATCTTAAACGTAATTTTAAATATAATTATATCATTGAACTCAAAATTAAATTTCCCATCCAAAACCGTTTAGATGTATTTTTTTACGTTTCCGGTTCAAAAAATAATATTTTTGTCGCGAAATCATTTTAGAGGCAAAAGGCTAACATCTTAAACGTAATTTTAAATATAATTATATCATTGAATTCAGAATTAAATTTCTTATCCAAAACCGTTTAGATGTATTTTTTTACGTTTCCGGTTCAAAAAATAATATTTTTGTCGCGAAATCATTTTAGAGGGCAAAGGCTAACATCTTAAACGTAATTTTAATTATAATTATATAATTGAACTCAGAATTAAATTTCCTATCCAAAACCTTTTAGATGTATTTTTTTACGTTTCCGGTTCAAAAAATAATTTTTTTGTCGCGAAGCATTTTAAGAGGGAAAAGGCTAACATCTTAAACGTAATTTTGTATATAATTATATCATTGAACTCAGAATTAAATTTCCTATCCAAAACCGTTTAAATGTATTTTTATAAATAAAAGTTTTATTAAATTAGAAATTAAGAGATTTCATATCTTTTTATGTATAAATACTGATGTAATAAATAACTTAAATTTCATAAGGTCATATTTAGGTTTTCAAATGGGAAAACCTTTTTATGTCCTGGTCTTGGTATTTTTTTTTAACCAAGACCAAAAGCTATTAATAATAGTTGCCTCCACGTGGCTCAAGAGGAAACAGAAAATATTTTTAATTTAAATATTTTATGGCTAAAACTATCGAAAAAATTTTCAGATTATAATTAATAAAATTTAATTCTTATAGAAATCAAAAATTTAGAAAAGTCAAAGTAGTTAAAAATATTAATAAACAAAAATATGGGATAAATATTATCTTCTTCATTAAAAAAATCTCTTACTAGGTGATTTCACAAATTGCAGAAGAAATTCATCACGTTGGTGGATATTTGCCTAAAGAGATCTAAGCAGGTTAAGTCAAAAATCATGGGAGTCGACAGATTATGTATCTCTTGCCCTTAGTTCTTAAAAAATGGATAAAATAAGGCTAAATATTGCATATATATAGTAAGCATATAATATCTATTCTGAGTTCAATGATATAATTATATTCAAAATTACGTTTAAGATGTTAGCCTTTCCCCTCTTAAATGATTTCGCGACAAAAAAAATTATCTTTTGAACCTTAAACGTAAAAAAAAACATTTAAACAATTTTGGATAGAAAATTTAATTCTGAGTTCAATGATATAAATATATTCAAAATTACGTTTAAGATGTTAGCCTTTCCCCTCTAAAATGCTTTTGCGACAAAAAATATATTTTTTGAACCGGAAACGCAAAAAATACATCTAAACGGTTTTGGATAGGAAATTTAATTTTGAGTTCAATGATATAATTATATTTAAAATTACGTTTAAGATGTTAGCCTTTCCCCTCTTATGCTTTCGCAAATTAAAAAATCTTTTAAAATTTTTTACTTCTTTATCAAGTAATTACAATATATTTATTACTTATATATAAAATCATAACCAAATATTAATTTAATTAAAAATATAATAAAATTAATTTTTAAAAACCGCAATTTATTTCAAAGAATTTTTTAAAAAATTGAAAAGATCTTAAAATTTCCATATTTTTAATATATTATAATTTTTAATATTTTATCTCTAAAAAAAGCTATAAATATCAAAGATCTCATTAATTATTTTCTTTGTTATTTTTATTTTCAATATTATTTTTTAGCCTTTCGTATTACCAAGCCTTTCGACTTATAGACCTACCCAAATGGTATACTCGCAACAAACATTATTTATTTATCAGAATCACTTAGTCATAATGTTAATTTATAATTTATTGTAGGCTGATAAGCTGATGCTGAATTGGTTTGAACAAATTTTCAATGTAAGTTTTTTTCTCTTTATATCATTTATTATTATATACCTTTATATATATCAGGGATGTGAACCCGGACCCTGAACCCTCCTGGACCCTAGTATTTTGGCTGAACCTGGACCCGGACCCTTTTAAAAAGTGGAGGGTCCAAGGGTTCAGGGTGTTAAAAATTTTTAACTTAAAATTTTTTTTTTTAATTAATGTAAAAATATAATTTTTAAAAAATAATATAAAATTTTTATAATTTTATTAATTTTTTTCGTGGAATCTCCCTAAAAAATAGTCACTTTAAAACTATAATTGATAAAGCAAGGGATGTTGTAAAATATTTAAGAACTCCCACAATTGTTAGAATATTAAAATCCATGAAAAGATAAATGGCAATTTTAGATTGCACAACACGTTGGTCCTCTATGTGTATGATGCTAGAGCGATTATTAAGTTTGAAAGATTTCTGTAATGATTTTATCATAGGAGCATGTGAAATCATTTTGTCAGAAGATGATTGGAATCAAGTAAAAGAGCTTACTAGTGTGCTGGTTCCTTTAAAAATAACAACATTAAGAGTGCAAGCTGAACAATTATGTTTATCGGATTTTTATGGCATATGGTTAAGATGTCGATTAGAGTTAGGGAGATTAACAAGTTCTTTTTCAAATGAAGTATTATAACGAAAATAACATTGGTGGTTACAACAATATCTACTAGTTGTAGCGATAACAAAGATAATGATAACGATATTGTCTGGAAATTTTACTATTAGATAGAGAAAAAAAAATTAAATTATCATCTGATAAAAAGGAGCAAAAAATATCTATTGTATCTTTAATAGAAAAGTTCTCGGAAGTTATGAGAATAAATAGAGATGCAAACATTTTAAAATTCTGGGAGGAAAATTATTCAATATATCCAGAATTATATACTTTTTCTAGAATCGTCATGGCTGTACCGGCGACACAAGTACAATAATTTATGTATTATAAAAATGACTATCTATTTTAGGTAAGCGTAGAGCGTTAATTTTCATCGTTGACTAATTTACGTGGAAATCTGAAGGATGATATTTTAGAAGATATCATGATTGTGCGATTGAATAAAATATTTAAAATATAAATTATCTCATTTCGAATTATAAATGTGTATATATTGAAGTATAATAAAAAATGAATGAAAAAAAGTCCTATTTTGAGTCATTATTTTTATGTTTCCTCTGAACCCTGGACCCGTGTCCTTTTTAAATTTATTATTGGACCCGAACCCGGACCCTTTTTTTTGTCGAAGGGTTCACATCCCTGATATATATCAACCTGTGTACTAAAAGTCTGCTATAGCGTTTTCGCCCGCCCACCCACTCAAGCTCACCAATAGAGTTAATAATTTTAATATTAGGCTGGCGGATGGGCAGGTAAAAATTATTTTTAAAACAATAGGCGGGCGAAGGATTTTAAATATTTTTCTGACGAAATGGTGAGAACAGGCTTATATTTATTAGCTATGATATATTTTTATTTCGTAATATTTGCATATTTTAGAAGTTTAAATAAAAATATATTTAAAGTGATAAAATTATTTGTCGATATTTATACAATATTTTAGATAAATATTCTTATGCCTCGTCCTAGTGAACTAATTAATTCATTTGTCCAAACATGCCAAATTAAATTGTAATTTTTATAATAGATAAAATGGTTTTTTTAAATTTCGGTTTTAATTATTCAAGTAGCAGATTTTTTTTAAAAAAAATCAAACATATTTTTATCTAACTATAATTTTAATTATAAAAATATATTTCAAAATTCGAACCACATTTTTATCCCCCTATTTTAATTGAATAAAATTACATGATTCCAAAATTTAGTTAACCAAAATTGATTATTTATTGGTATCTAGGACATATATAATGATAACATTAATTAACGAATTCATTGAAACAATTCATAACTAAGTTACTCGAGCTAGAACGAATAAGAAAAGTGAAAATATACATTTCTTACCTCGAACGCTTATAATTTATAATCGGCTTAGCATGGCAAAAAAAGCCTGGGGGCATGGCACGCCCAGATTAAATGATATCCTTTGCTCAAGATTAATTAATATATAAATGATAAATAATTATATGAAAATCTGTTAAACATCTATTATTTGGTTTGAAACAAAGAGCCACCTTAATTAAACTCTACGTAGCTTATTTTGTTGAAAATATAAATTCAGTCATTCTGCCACACTTTTCATCAAAGTTGGTAAAAGATATATTTCAAATGGATTTTTATTAGGTCCTTGGGCTATATTAGGTCAAAATTTTGAAATATTATTTTATAGACCGAATCTGCAGATATTGGATATAATTGTCTTTTCTTGTGGTTACCTTTTAACTGCAATTTTTTAGAGACCAGTAAAAATTTTATTTATTTTTTGATAAATATGATAGAGATAGATCGTATTATTTTGTAGAAATTTACTCTTGAATAAGTGTGCTGTCGCCTGCCTATATGCCCCATTAATGGATTGACATTTAAACATTTCCTTTAATATATAATAAAGAATATTCTTTCAGGGGCATAGCCAGGATTTTCCAATGGGGGGTTTAAAAAAAAATTTTACCGGGCCTTCGGCCGGGCCCCTACTATAAAATTTATATATAATTGATTTATCGGGAGTCTATATGATCTCCGTTAAAGTTAGCTAAACAAGTCTTAATTCTAAAATATGACAATGTTTTGTGCTTTATTACTGTCTGACTTTAACCAGTATAGTAGCCAGTATAAAGGAAAAAATTATTAGTAACAAGATTTTGGCCAGCCTTAAGATTAAAAAAGTGATTGAAAGCATTTATTTAGTAAATTTTTTCAATGTTCAGATCATAATTGTATATGAATTTAATCTCTTTAAGTAGTAGATAGTATAAAGAAAAAAGAAAATTGCTAAAATAGATATCGTATTAAATTGAAAAATATAAAAAACTATATCTGATGTGCGCTAATATTTAATGCCTAACTAGTACCTTGAATTCTTCACTCAAATATGAGAACCACAAAATAAAAACTATGACGTCAGCTCTAAGCGAGAAGTGAGCCAAGCTTTTGGAGACACTAATTTTGATATTAAACCATTAAGTAGTGCTTTATCAATATATTTTATTGCTTTATTTTCTTTGGTGGTATTTGGTTTATAGAGAAAAATAATTATTGGAAAATAAAAAAATTGTCAAAAGGTATTATGACAGAACGGAGAATGTAGAAGCTCTAACTATCTGGTTAGCGTTAATATTTAGTGCCTTATTAATTTTTTAATAAATTTCGCCAGCCATTAAAAACGTAACCGAATTATGAATCAAAAACTAACTATGATATCACGTTTTTAGCATAAAGTTAGCCTAACATCTAGAAGCATTATCTCAGAAATTTATCCCAATAATTAGTGCGTATTTCATACTTACTGCTTCAACCCGTTTGGTAGACATTTTAAAGAAAAACATTTTGGGCAAAATAAAAAAAATCGCCAAAATGGCATCATGCTAGAAAGAAAATTATAGAAGCAATGAACAATATATAATGCATAATTAGTACTCACTAGTTTATCAATCAGTTTTTTTTCCAGCCAATAAATAAAAACCAGTATAAGCGAGCGAAATAAATATTAGGGCAAGTCTTAGGCTGTAAATATCGAATTTTAAATGATCACAAATCAACTTGGTCTAAATACATTAAGGTTTCTCTTTCACCAATTCGATGTCATTTTTTTTCAGTTTGTTTTATAAATTCAGAAGTAATTAAAATCTCATTAAATTTTAAAATGAGTTGTATTTTCAAAAATCTTATATAAATCAGATATTAGGATGCAGTTATAAGCATGAATTTCGCCAAACTTTTAAAAGTACTAATTCTAAAGCTTAGGCTAATAATTAATGCTTAAAGATTACATTTTAGGTTTTCAATCCTCTTGGTAAACAGCCAAAATAAAAAAGTTATTAGCAAAATTCGAAAATCACTAAAATTGATACCAAGGTTCAAGATAAAACAAAGATTCTAGAAGCACAAAAGTAATTTAAAAAAAATTATATAAACGAAATATCTAAAATAAGTTTTACTATTATTATCATTAAATCCTATCATCTAAAATATGAGACTTCATGTGGTTGTAGCATTTTGATACTTTTATATTTACTAGAGGCATAAAAAGGAGTCAAATAGATTTGTGGCATATCTATGCTTAACATTTGTTGAAAAAGGAATAAATTAATAATTGTTTCTTCATAATAAAATCGATACTAAACATATTTTTTGCACAGATAATTTAAAAAATATATAAATAATCAAATACTGTAAATCAAAATGATTATTTATAAATTTAAATAAAAATAGTTGTTTTTTAAATTTTAAACATTTATATTATCAATTTAGTAAATTATAAAATATTAAGGTAAAAAACCTACCCCCCCCCCCCCCATGAATACGCCAGTGCATTATTTTATAATTGTTAAAAAATATATATACTTATTACATTTTTTTATATTTTCTAATATAATTATTAAAAGGCAATAAATGAATATAAGCCACAATTTTTAGCTTTACACTTCCAGGAAATTGGAGGGAAAAATTTCGAACATTCTATGTCTAATCTCAGGCCTTTCATAGAGTAAAATAATATTTTGGACAATTTTAGATTGTTTACATTATTTTTTGCGTTTTTGTAATAACTTAATAGGGATTTTAAATTAATAAGTAGTTCTTAATTTTATATCCGGTTTTCTTTTCATGAGAAAAGAAAAGTGTCTTTTATTATCTTAGAGAAAACTCGAAATAAGATAATAGCTTTACTTTTAGCATGATTTAAATAAAAAATATCTCAACCTTTAACTCTTATTAATAGATTTCCTGATGATATCCCAATTTATCTTCTAAATGGGGGTTAGTTTAGAAACATTTTTTATTTGATAATGACTAAGCTGTTCTTTTTATGAATAGCGAATTCCATGCAAACTAAAAAAAGCTCAATTCTCAACCCGATCTCCAGATTTTATTAAATTAAAAGTAGTATGTATATATAATATAACTAAGAAATTAAATTTTAGCCTTCAATTTCAAACAAGGGCTGTGACATTTTTATTTCAGACCCGTACCCGATTTGCCCGAAATTTTTAATTAAAACATAAAATAAAGCGCATTTGTATGAAGTAAAAATTATTAGTTTATTTATCCTTATCACTGAAATTATAGTCATCATTTTATTTTGATCGAAGCTGCACATCCGTCCCGGACCAACCCGAACCGGCAGGAAAATGTTATTATTTTAAAAATCCGGGCGTGTTTATTTAAAAAAAGAAATTGAAATTAGTTAAATTAATTTATTGGAAAATCATATAATGAAGCGTTTAATATTCATTTGCTCATATTTTCAATTTGCCATTGAAATAATTTGCAAACCAATTATTCAAAATATCTAAATTTAAAAATTCAGAACCAGGCTGAGAAAGACAGAAATGAAATCCGGATTGAGCCAATTCCTGGCCGGATAATATTTTTTAAAAATACAGGCTGGGCTTGAAAATAATATTTTTTTTCTTAGGCTGGATTTAAAATTTTGAGCTCTGCATATATCTTATTTTGATAAATTAAAGATACCATAATTTTTTATTTTATTTGCAAACCCTATCAGGCCGGTCTTGGGCCGACTTGCTGGTCTCTAAACGGACCCCTACCGAACCCAAATTTTTCTCAGGCCCATAATACTAATCAATGAAGCCAGCGTGCTCTTGCTCGGCTCAAATAACGTGGAAATTTTTTGAAGGTCTGACCTGACCAGTAAGTTTTTTACTTGGCCCAGCTTGTAAAATAATTTTTTTTATTAAGGAAAATATGAATTTGCAAGATTATACTTTAAAAAAAATTCCGAGCTTTAGACCCCAGCCCATAAAATTGCACAAATTGTCCTACCCGCAAGCAGGGCTAGACCGCGCTGACCTCTAATAGAAAGTACCTTTGAGAGAGATGCCGGGCTAATGTATATCATCAAATAAAAATTTGGAAATAGGCGATTAAAATTATGCAAAAATTATAAAAATCGGTGAAAATAATTTATTCGATCAATATTTTAAAGTTCTATATCCACTTTTTTGGAAAAATGGATTTTTTAAAGCGGTTATTTCAAAAAGAATACAATATTTTTTTTAAATGTTAATTTTAAATAATAAAATGATAAGTTTCTTAGATATATCTTGGGAATTATCTATCAGACAATTTTCTTTTATTTCTACGCCTTTGTTTGCTGAAAATAGATCATTTAAATATTCACGCGACGAATTAATTGATATATGATAATTTATTTAAATGATAATTTAAATAAAAAAAATGAATGTAAAATTATAACGCTATTAAAAAATAACCTTGAAATAACTGTATATCTCTTTCAAATGACAGTTCTTATATTTTCTTGAACGATAAAACATAATACAATAATTTTTCACAAAGGAATTTAACAAAATATTGTTTATGGATTAATATTTTCATCATTATAAACATTTGATAATCTGCATTAAAGTTATTTAAATAGATAATTTTTTTTTATTTCGATTTTTTCTTCTATGATGTCTGGATCATAAAAACTATTTTTTTTATCATATCTATAAAATGAATATTAATATTAATATGACTTATAAGATTTTCCAAGAAATTTTCATAAAAAAAAAGAAAAACAAGATATTTAATATTTTAAATGATTAGATGAAAAACCAATATAAAATTCGGCTCAACTTTTAATATTGCATAAAATTAAATAAAATTTCATTTTTATTGAATTTTAATTAACAAATAAATAGATTTATTAATATTTAAAAAATAATTTAATATATACATTAAATTTAAAAGAGCGATAGAGTAGCGCTCCTCCACTCCAGCCCTAAAAGAATCTAACTCCCGCGGGGCGCCTTTTGAAAGATCGCCGCTCCTTAATTCTGATAATATCTCATTAAAATAGAGGAAAAATAATATGTGAAAATTATAATTCAGATATAAAAATTTAATCAGGACTATCAATCTGCGTTTAAACCTAGAGATGTTGCATTAAGTAATTTCTCCCTTGTATTTTATTTATACATCTTTCTAGACTCAACTTTCAAATCAATATGTAAGAATTTACTTGATCATTTGTTCATCTTTTGATAAATGATGTTTCAATATTCTGAATATTTTAAATTTATTATTCAATATATTATAAGGCCTAACTTTATAAAAATCCATTCTATATATATATTTTAGTATAGTCTGAATATTATATTTCAAATTTCGAAATTGCAATTGGGTCATTGTTATCCATATTATTGGAATAGAAATACCACTAGCATTAGACCCAGGCGCGTAACCAATGCTCCATCGCAAATTTGACTGTTTTCATTTAAGCTAATAAAAATTTCACCCCCCCCCCCCCAATCAAAATTTTACAAATATTTATCAATTTTCCAACAAAACTATAAATTTTATTAAAATTTCCTTTCCTTGCATTAACATTGTTCAAAAATATTAATAAAATGGAAAAATTTCAAGTCAAGGAGATTGAAATCATGTTTAATTATTGTCTCTTATATGCTGGGGCCTTTGGCAGATATACTGTTATGTCCTGTTGTAATCATTTCGTTATTTCAACATGTGAAATGCAGATTGAGTATGGGTCAGTTGAGACCTTAAAATTATTTTCTGATAACCAGAAATGAGCTCAAACATGATTTAAATCTTGTGCCAACCTGGCGGTGATTTATTCTGTAATAATATTTATAAAAATTAAACATCTTTTTAATTACTGTCTCCTATATTTTGGGGCCTTTGGCAGATGTACTATTATGTCCTGTTGTAATCATTTCGTTACGATTTTTTTAATTAAAATAAAAAATGGTTGATTTTAAAATTAAATATAAATAACTATAAACCAATAAAATAAGAGCTTAATAAGCCAATAAAAATAAAGATTAATAAGCCTATAAAAGTAAAATTGCATAACAATAACATATATAAGAAAGATTATATTACAAAATTTAATATAGAAGGTGGCTGAGTGGGAGGAACGTTTGCCTTTAAAACGTTAGGTCATGGGTTCGAATCCCCTTATGTGCAAAAAATTTCTTAAAATTTAACATTAGAGATATATAGTCTCCATCGATTTATTTAACAATAAGAAGATAGGAAAGTTGATAGTAGGAAAAATAAAAATTAACATTAGGAAAGTTGATAAGAAAAATAAAAATTAACATTAAGGATATACGAAAACGTTCATTTCTTGATTACGGTTATTATATATATAGATTATTTTATTAAATTCAAAATTATTAGTAAGTTAGAATTAATAAGTATTTTTAATATTAATAATAAATATCAGGGATGTGAACCCGGACCCTAAACCCTCCTGGACCATCGTATTTTGGCGGAACCCGGACCCGGACCCTTTTAAAAAGTAGAGGGTCCAAGGGTTCAGGGTGTTAAAATATTTTTTTTTTAAAATTAATGCAAAAATATAATTTTTAAAAAATAATATAAAATTTTATTAATTTTTTTCGTGGAATCATTTATTTTATTTTCGCGTTTTTCTTCCTGGACTTCATTTCATTTTATTTAGATATTGATACCATACATTATTTTATAGTGTAAGTAATAATATTTTATTATGTAAATTTATTTGCTCTTATTAGAAATACTTTGACTATTTTGATTTGAAAGTGAAATATTTGGAATTATTTTGTACTGCAAGTAATAATATAATATAATTTTAAAGGCTAATTTATTAATATCTTATATAAAAATTTTATTAAGTCATTACTTTGCAGTGTTAAAATATTAAGGTTATGTTTTTTGAGCAATAAATTTAAATTAATCAAAATTGGCAGTGTTTTGCAAATATATAATTTTATTATAAGTTATCAAATATATTCAAATCATCATATCAAAAAAATTAGTTATTTTATTTAGGCTGCATCCAAGTTTTGAAAAAATCCTTAAAATTTTCACAAATTAATAACAACACTTTGGACACATTTAAGTTTTAAAAAAATTAAAATATTCAAAATGCTTGATAAAGATATGTAAATATTTAATTGTATTTAAATTGATAATAAATACTATGTTGTAAATAATTATATCAATATTTAATAAATAGTTGGAAAACCAATAATATAATCTATTTTGAAAGATAATTTTTCCATAAAATATATATAAAAAATTATTATTTAAATAAAAATGTGGTAGAAATTATATAATATTCCAGCACCTTTTAAATTAGATTATAATTTTTTATTTTTACCAAATTATAATTTAATAAATTTAGCCTTTACAGCTAAAATTTTCTTTATCACTTGATCATAATTCAAGTTTTGTTTTTCCTATTTTCTACATAATATCCAATTTTTAAGTCATTTTTGCACCAGAGGTTCCTGTGCATTCTTAACCTTTCCATAAAATTATTTTCTGACACTAATATATATATTAATATAAAAGGCTATAATCGTTTAGGTAGTAAATTTATAAAATTAACAGCATTAAGAAGAATTGTACTTAATAATTTTTTATAAAAATTTCATGAAATTGGACACTATTTTATTTTTACATTAAAAATAGATTATGTAATTTTTTTCTTCAAAATTTATTTATTTATATTTTTAAGATTTTGGATGCAGCCTGATTAAAAATATATACATTCTATATGTCTATACTTTTAAGTTTTAAAGATATAAAATTTTGTTTTTTTTAGTATGAAACTAAAAGATATTTTGTTACTATAATGCAACTAAAGGGGATTCTGAGTGCAAAACCTGCCACCTAATGATAAAAGGTTCACACAATACTAACCTGGAAAGACATTTAAAAAACATCATTCTATAATCTTTGAGGAATATTTAAATATAAAAACCAAATTTTTGGAAGAAGACATTGTTACAAAGTCTACTGTCAGTATTGTAAAGAAGGATGAAAATAATATTGAAAAATTTTGCCTTAAAAAAAGCATTCATTCAAATGTCTGAGGAGAATTTGATAAATGCTTTAGTTGAGCTTGTTACAATAAATGGAAGGCCTTTCAATATTATTGAGGATTTTGGTTTAAAAAAAATTATTGATCCTCTTAGTAAGGCAATTGGAACATCAATTAACCGTTTTAAAATTAAGGACTTAATGGTTAATGAATCGAAAAAAATACAAGCAAAAATAATAAAAGAAACAAAAAACAAATTAATTTCAATTAAAAATTGATTCCGCCCAAAGATTAGGGAGAAATATTCTAGGAATAAATATACAGTATATTAAAGGAAATAATATAATAAGAAATTTAGCTATGAAGGAGATTAAAGAGAGTTCAACTTCTGAAAATATAATATTAGAAACATTAAATAAATTTCATATTCCTATAAGAAACGTTTATAATTACTACGGATAATGGTGCCAATCTAGTAAAATCAATCAAATTATTAAATGAATGTTCACTGGAAGAAATTGATGATATAGATGATGATGATGATAATTATGAGGAAATAAGTGAAATTGATTTGCAGGAAATAACAAAAGATTTCTCCACAAAAATATACTGTTTCAGATGTGCAGCCCATACGCTACAATTGGCTGTTAATGATTCCCTAAAAAATAGTCACTTTAAAACTATAATTGATAAAGCAAGAGATGTTGTAAAATATTTAAGAACCCACAATTGTTAGAATATTAAAATCCATGAAAAGGCAAATTACAATTTTAGATTGCACAACACGTATGTCCTCTATATGTATGATGCTAGAGCGATTATTAAGTTTGAAAGATTTCTGTAATGATTTTATCATAGGAGCATGTGAAATCATTTTGTCAGAAGATGATTGGAATCAAGTAAAAGAGCTTACTAGTGTGCTGGTTCCTTTAAAAATAACAACATTAAGATTGCAAGCAGTACAATTATGTTTATCGGATTTTTATGGCATATGGTTAAGATGTCGATTAGAGTTAGGGAGATTAACAAGTTCTTTTTCAAGAAGTATTAGAAAATATGAAAATAAGAGAGCAACAATATTTACAAAATAGTGTTGTATATGCTTCGATATTTTTAGACCCGCGATATCAGGTTTTATTAAGTAGTGAGCAAAAACAAATGGCTATAGACCATCTTGAAGATTTATGGCATACCCAAAACTCTATTATTTACAATATATTGGAGGCTACAACAATATCTACTGGTTGTAGCGATAACAATGATAATGATAACGATATTGATGATCTGGAAATTTTACTATTAGATAGAGAAAAAAAAATTAAATTATCATTGATAGAAAGGAGCAAAAAATATCTATTGTATCTTTAATAGAAAATTTCTCGGAAGTTAAAAGAATAAATAGAGATGCAAACATTTTTAAATTCTGGGAGGAAAATTCTTCAATATATCCAGAATTACATACCTTGTCTAGAATCGTCATGGCTGTACCGGCGACACAAGTTCAATAATTTATGTATTATAAAAATGACTATCTATTTTAGGTAAGCGTAGAACGTGGATTTTCATCGTTGAAATATATTTTATCTAATTTACGTGGAAATCTGAAGGATGATATTTTAGAAGATATCATGATTGTGCGATTGGATAAAATATTTAAAATATAAATTATCTCATTTCGAATTATAAATGTGTATATATTGAAGTATAATAAAAAATGAATGAAAAAAAGTCTTATTCTGAGTCATTATTTTTATGTTCCCTCTGAACCCGAACTCTGGACCCGGATCCTTTTTAAATTTATTACCGAACCCGGACCCTTTTTTTGTTGAAGGGTTCACATCCCTGATAAATATCTATAATTTTTTAAATATTTTATTTTTACTTCGATTTTGTAGAACAGAAGAAATAGAAATACAAAAGTTAAATAAGGCTGAGCATGAAAAAAAGTAATGTGTCGTCAGAAGCGATATCATTATTGAATTCAATTGATCAATCAGAGTTAAATATTGCTGCTAGTTGCATCAATAAATTATTTTCCTATAGCTCACTACTTTGTAGAAATTTACAAAAACCAAATTTAGATTTGGTTCAGGTTATTGATTTGGCGGAAAATATATATGAACAGGTAGATACAATAAGAATGAATGTAGATTAATATTTTCATAATATTTATCTAGACGTTGAATCGAAGGCTAAATTTTATGATATAACACTAATTAAACCTCGTCTAGCACCTGGGCAATTATTGAGATGTAAAATAAATATTGGCTCAACTGAAGAATATTATAAAATATCCACTTTCATCCCATTCTTAGATACTTTTTTATCGCAAATAAAAGTACGGTTTTTAGATAAAAAACAAGTCTTTAGCAATCTTCAAGTTTTAATACCCAAAGATCCATCTTCGTTTTTAATGTCACTATTGTTTTAAATATGTAGCAAAATTTTATTCCTATTTGATACTGAAATAAATTTAATCAGTGAATTCGAATTGTGGTATAAATATTTACTACGTTTAGCTATTTTACCTGAGCATGCTATTGATGCGCTCAATCGGTGTAAAGAAACCTTGGCTCAAATTCCTAATATTTTGAAGTTGTTTTATATTCTACCATGCAGTGGCGTATCCAGGATTTTCTTATGGGGGGGGGGATTTTTTACCCCTCTTATCTGGTCTTCGGCCAGCTTTCCCCCGGCCTTCGGCCGGGTCTTATGTTTTAGCTATTCCATTAAATTATTCATAATTTAATAATAATTATATTTCTATTTGTAACTATTATTTACTAATTCGTGCTAATGATATTACAAGCCTATTTTTTATTATTTTTAGTTAGGTATATTATATTTAATAAAGTTTTTTAAATGTAAAGTTGAAATAAAGTTTAATGTCATTTTTTTTATAAAATTTGCTTTAAAAACTAGCCTCAGCTTAAATTCTCATACAATATAAGTATAATATAATTTTTTTATTGAAAATACTAATAGTAGTGAGTGTGTATAAATTAATGTTGTTAAACGGCTCGTTTTGAGCCGATTTTTAAAAACAGCTAACTCAATATTTTCGCCAGAAAAATATTAACTAAGCCTCGAAATTTCGATACTATATGTCTAGACCTTTGTTTGTTCTGTTCTATGAGCAAAATTTTCAGGTTTGCATAATATTTTCCTGGATAAATAACTGAGTTAGCCGTTTTTAAAAATGCTCAAAACGAGGCGTTTAACAACACTATAAAATATTGACTAGAAAATAATTTAAAAAACAAGTTTTTTTAAATTTCTTATCAAATATAATATTATATAAAATTTTTTATTAAATACTATAATTATAATATTATTTTTAATTTTCGTGGGAATGTTGCCAATTCATCAAGAATTTTTTTTGTCGTTGGAACCAAATCTCTGTGGATATTTAACAGAGCTAACGCATTTAGCCGAGATTCGGAAATAGTACTTCATAAATATGTTTTATTTTCAATAAAAAAATTATATTATACTTATATTGTATGAGAATTTAAGCTGAGGCTAGTTTTTAAAGCAAATTTTATAAAAAAAATGACATTAAACTTTATTTCAACTTTAAATTTAAAAATACGCTTGTCCCCCCCCCCCCCCAACCATAAGAAAATCCTGGATACGCCACTGATTAGACCAATACATCCTTTCTTGTGGGATTGGATAATATACAGTAAATTAAAGGTTTGTATTGGTTGTCCGTAGCCTGAGCTCGGGTTCTGACATAAAAGACTTTATTTTGGGTCGGGTAAGGGGTGTCCAACCCGAAGACCGACCTGACAAATTAATATATATCCTAAATAATCATTTTGATTCATATGTCATTTTTATCTAACACATTTCATCATGAAAATGTCAATCAGAATAACATGTCATTTTCAATTATTTTCTACATAACATCCATTTGCCAAACTATTTTTCTATTATATTTTTGTGTTATTATTACATACCTTATTTACATCATATTTTATCAAGTTAATTACAATATATTTATCTAATATCTATTTAATTAAATAGCCTCAAATTTTCAATATTTAAAATCTTTTACCAAATCTTAAATTGATGGAAGACTTTAGTTGACTGCATCGGGTCTAATTTTTCAAGCCCAACCCGGCCCGAATTTATTTAAATATAGAAATTAATTTTTATAATTACTCAAAATAATCGATATATGTTATATAGCGTCTACTTTCTATAAATATAATCACATATTTTTATTTTACATAAAAGAATTAACATAAAATTGATAAATTTAGATATATTTTAAAAAATATCTAAGGCCCGACTCTACTTTTGCAGATCTCTAAAACTTATCAAACGACTTTCTCTATTTAAGTGTTTTGGCCAAAATTTCTGGCAATCCTTGATATTTAAGTTCAGATTATTTTTTCCAATTAATTTCTTTTATTTCAAAATTTATATACGAATTACCACAAAATATTTAAATTCTTGGAAAAATATTAAAATTTAATTTATTTCCCAGAATCAAAAAAGTTAAAATGTTTTTTTTATAAATAATATATATCTTTTTAAAACTAAAAAAATGATAGACATGATATATAATAATATTATTATTTTTTAACTAATTACAACATCTCCACCCCTAACGGGCCAAGGACATATGCCGTCGAAATAATCAAAAAAAAATTTATTTATACTATCTAGGATCTAAAAATTATATGGTTCCTAATGAACCTACATATTGTTATTATTTTCATTGGAGCATGGCTGCTTCTTCCATTTCACTAACAATTGTTAACATTATTTTGATCCGCCTCTTCTGTATATTCACTCGTCTCATTATTATTTGTTTTAACTTCATCTCTTTGATGATTTGTTGGAAACCATGGTCTGTTATTATATTGTCTTATGATTGTATTTCTTGATTCGGACTTTCGAATATACATGTTTGGAATAATCTTGTCCTTTTGAATATGATCTATTGTATGATTTATTGCATAAGCAGGTACATCACAATCCCTCATTAGGTGTTAAAATAAGTGACATCGGAAACATTGCCATGAATTGAAAGCCCTTGCAGAAGATACTTTGAATTCTTTTTATAACTATTATTATTGTTTTTTTTTCTCTGACAATTCCAAAATGTTTGTGCCTCTCTTGGGCTTCTTTGGTATAATGATCAATTGAAGGTAGAAAGGCCCACAATCTACTAATGGTAAATCATTATATACATACTATTTTAAAATATTTTTATTTATTTTTTACGATATTAAATTTATTACTTAAAGAAAAATTTTTAATTTACAATATTAAATTAATTAATTATATAAAAAAATTTTATTTAAAATACCAAAAATAAAATTATGATCATAATTTATTAAAATAAACTCTTTCACACATATGTCTACACCATATTATCACTCTAATGATTTGACTTAACAAAAATCATACATTTAATTTGTGAAACATTAAATGTTTTTTTCATATATGTTTCTTTCCTTTCTTCTATTTAATTTATTATTTCACTTGACACATAATAACAAATTAAATTTTAAACCGATAAAATTACCATAAACACTCCACAATTTTTTTAAGGACACATGTTACATCTTCTCCAATTGAGAGTATTGAGAAAATGAAAATATCAAATTAAATTTTAAACCGATAAACTTACAATAGAAATTTCACAATTACACATGTTATCATAAGCTTTCTTTCACTTCGATAAGTTAAATTTTTGTCAATTCACTTGTTAAATACTGACAATAAACAACATAAACCTATGTATATTTGTAATTTAAAAAAAAACTAATCATACTATGTTAACATCTCTGCAATATTCACCAAGATAATTATATCTATAACATAAAATAAATTATACATGTTTAATCCCTGGCCCTGGCATGATCATTATGCCTTATAACAATAATCTCATTTTCTAAATTTATTCTATTTAATTTAGCTCTCATTTTCTATTATATTACTTTTTTCCCATTTTTTATTTTTATTATCGATTAAACGAGTCCATATATTTTTTGCCACAGAAAACTTTATATTTACTCTCTCACATGATAATATAATAGCATTGCCTTTTGATTTTAAAAAATCTAAGGGCAATCTGGTTCTTCGACCCAGAAACAATTCAACAGGAGTAACACCCTCCTTATTTTTGGAATTATTATAATATAATTGTGCCACCCAAATCTCATTTTTTCTTGTTTGGCCTTTTTAATCCAATTTTTCACTATGGCTACCATTCTTTAAGCCTGGCCATTAGAGCTAGGATGATATGGTGGAGCTAACACATGTTTTATTTGTAATAATGAAGTGTAAAAATGTCCAAAATTTTCACTTATAAAAGCCGGACCTCCATCAGACACGATTGTTTTAGCCCAAAATTTTTGTAATAATTTGATAACTACCTTGGTTGTTAACCCATAAACTTCTTCATACTCAATCTACTTATTAAGTTATGGGAAAAATTAATTAAAATCATATTTTTTTGGGTATTGTAAAAAAATTTTTTTATATTAAGTAATAAATTTAATATCTAAATAAAAAAATAATAAAAATATTTTAAAATTATGTATATAACGATTTACCTTTAGTGGATTGTGGGCTTTCTACCTACAATTGATCTTTATACCAAAGAAGCCCAAGAGAGTTACAAACA